CACTGCTATAATATTAACTTTTTATATAAACTATATACAAAAAAGATTAGAAAAATATATCTGCGGAGGTGTTGCTACAGTATAAAAATAAGTAAAAAATGTCTGCTTTCAGTCGAATTACGAATAATTAAAAAACATGTATGTAATTCCATAGCCTGGCTTTGACCATTAATGTAATGAGAAAAAGTTAAATGTCAAATTTATTTGCTACCACCGGATGTGTGCTCATGCACTGTACTGTTCAGCTAATTACACTTGTTCAAATAAAGACTGTTCAAAAATTTCATGTTTGCAGTTGGCTAAACGTTGCTAAACGCTCGTCTGTAATGCGTGTCAAATTTATTTGACATTTAAGCTGACATTAAAATGGCAGTACAAAATTAATTTATTACACGGAATATTTAAGGTAAAAATACTTTTACTTGGAACAATTTGTTTGCTTTATTATTATAGAACTACCAACTTTTTTGAAAATTTGTTAAAGCCTGCATTCTAAAATGGAGGTAAACTTTCCCCGTAATAAAAAATCAACGACTCAAGAAGACTCAATAATAATAATATCTACCTTGCGTTATATTAATGAATTATCCCAAAACTTTACAATCTTCGCAGTTAATTTTAGGTCCTCTGGCGTTTTATTTTCAGATAAATTTAAAGGAATCTGGTATTTTATTGCTGGATGAACTTGAAAACATCTTTTGAGCCCCCCGCCCACCCACCCTCTCATTTGCCAAAATCGGCGTGTCCGAACTGTGGTAGATTTGTAATTCTCGACCGAATTTCGGCGCAAAATTTTTTGACCCCCTGATACCTTATAATCCATGACCGAACTGCGGTAAGTGGGGGTTTCAAGAACTGAATAAAAATTTAGTAAATAATTGAGACATTCTATTTATATCAACTTTCAAATAACTTCATTTTCTTTACTTTTCGTTCTTTTTAAATAAATATTTATTGAAAAACGACCCGTAGATCACATACTTACATAGATGTGTATAATCACAAGTTAATGTTCATTAGTTAGTAAATTAAAGCGACTGTAGCTTTATTTGTTATTGATCTATGGTGTTTCAAATGATATAATTTCTGAAATTGATAAATAAAATCACCGTAAACTAGGCTAAAATATAACTATGTAAATATTATATTATTATCTACAATTATGACATGATATTAGCAAATTTGTAATTGACACATTTCACAAAATTATACCTCGAAATTTCATTATTTTTGAATTGAACAATTTTAAATTCTATAAACATACATATGTCTATGAAGTACATCTTTTGCAATATATCGTTTTTAGTTTTTATGCGCAGAATTTATTTTTATATTTATAATTATAATTACCAAGACTATACAGATACAGTTGTACCCTGCTCCCAACCCCGAACGGAAATGTACCGCAGTTCGGTCAACTGTACGTGACTACCTGATACTTGAGCAAAATTTGCACCGCAATCGTATACGACCGCCAAAATCGGTCTTATTTTAGCAAGTACTAGCCCCGCCCACCCACCCTCTCTTTTCTTGGAAGGTATGTCATTTGCCAAAATCAGTTTTATCTTAGCAGGGTACTTAACTTAAAGTCTTGAGTGTCACAATGGATTTTTTTTATAATTCGGGAGACTCTTGGGTACCCATGGTGTATTATTTTGGGAGCCCAGAGATGATTTTTTTTTGTAAATTATTTGAAACAATTTTGGAGGACTTTGGTGTTCTATTTTTATAAAATTCTGACTAACCTGTTTTGAGTTAATTTTGAAACTCCTTTTTTTTATTTTTTGATAAATTTAAAACTATCTTGAAGTTCTAGGTACTCCTGTTTGGAAAGAATTTGAAAGTGGTTTGGACCCTCCAGTGTCTTTTCTTATAATAATTTAATTAAATTTCTTAGAGGATACGTCATTTGCTAAAATCAGTCTTATCTTAACAGGTACTAGCTCCAGCCGCTCGTCCTCTTTTTTCTTAGAGATTATGTCATTTGCCAAAATCGGTCTTATTTCAGTAGGTACTAGCCCCGTCCACCCGCCCTCTACTTTCTTAGAAGGATCTCATTGGCCAAAATCAGTCTAACGTCAGTAGCTACTAGCCCCGCCCACCCACCCTTTCTTTTCTTAGAGAGTATGTCATTTGCCAAAATCAGCCTTACCTTAGCAGGTACTAGCTCCTCCCACCCACCCTCTCTTTTCTTGGAAGGTATGGCATTTGCCAAAATCAGTTTTATCTTAGTAGATATTAACCCCACCCACCCGCCCTCTTTTCTCTTGGAGTATCTCATTTGCTATAAAATCAGTCTTATCTTGGAAGTTACTAGCCCCGCCCATCCACCCTCTCTTTTCTTAGACGGTATGTCTTTTGCCAAAATCAGTTTTATCTTAGTAAGGACTGATGACTAACAAGAAATGATCAAAATTTGGAAACATTACGAACTTACTTATATGTACAAGGCAGGAATTTTGAACATCTTCTCTAGTGTTGGTTATGTTTAATGAAAATTTTCTTTTATTGGCTTTGTTTCTGTTTATAATGCATAATTGTCTATTTATAAGCGAATTAAGTATATGTAATCCTCGATTAATTTAATAGAGGATTAAAATATAGAATATAAACTACCGATTGGTTAAAAGATGTACGTTGCATAGCAACGGACCTCAATTAAAAGTTGCTGGCGATTAATTAAAAAAAAATAATAACAATTTTGTTGAAATTTTTGCACGTATTTTAAAAAATCAATATTTCAGTTATTAATGGAAATTTTGGACAGACAGACGGAAACGGAAGACCACTTTTTTCGTACTCTAGAGGTCATGACACGAGAAAATATGAAAGTGGCAATTCGGCCGATGTACTCGATATACGATTTCTGGAGTTTTGTGAGCTGAAAACAATGGTGAAAACCGTGTTCCGAAATTTCCTTAAATAATTGAGATATTCATTTTTAAAAATACGTTCACTAAAATAAAAAAAAAGGATGATCACAAACTGTTTACGGACAGTTTATTATTTAAAATTTCACAACCGAAGTCCATACTGAAAATGTTCCGAAAATTCCATGCAAAAAACGTAGCGTTTGGCCTTAACAAAAAATCAAGCAGTTATTTACGCAAAAACGAAAAAAACTATTTAATTCAAGCTCACATACCAGATCAAAACAACGCTTTTTGGAGAACTTATAATCACTAGAGAAATTATATTTCTGAGATGACAAAAAATTCTTTGGTATATCTCTGAATTATCCTTTTTTAAATTGATTGACCTAGATTAATTATTACATATTTTGCATAATTTGACGATCCATTGAATATTTTGTAGGTTTGAGCATACGTATGCATATTTATGTATGTTTTACTTTGTCAGTTGAAAAAAAATCTAAATCAAATTTATTTATGATTTCCGTTTGGCGAAAGTCTAAGAATATATATATATTTGGATTTTTCTGGAATTTTTCTAAAGAAATGTACCTGTGTAGGTAAGCGAAGAAAAATGTTGCTTCTCCGGTGGGAATCGAACCCCACGTTTACCGCTTGCCGGGCGGGTGCCCTTACCACTAGACTACGGAGGAGCTTATCTTTCCTCGCTTACTACTACGTATTATTGTGCCACCACACCACAGTTTGTTTTCTAAGGCTTTGTCTTAGTCATAAAAGTTTTTAAGTAGGTACACGTCCACTACAGTACAGTATTTGAAGGCCGGTGGTAGCAAATTTTGAAAAATGCTTAAAGTGAAACGACTTTCATTAATTGATGGCTAAAAGACTATCCTGCACGTATTTTAACTAACGAAAATAGCGCTTTTATAAATTTTTTATTGCATATTTTTTAATAAGATTTTTTTAACTTGTTTTTGTCTTGAAATAAAAACGTTTTAATTTTATTTTTTAGATAACATGTGAACCCAAGTTCCAAATATCACATGTTTCAACACTTCATAAAAGGAAATGTCAAAATCTCCACGAATCGAAATTGCCGCAAAATTCCTAAAACAATCTGTTGCCGAAACTTCACAGAAAAATGAACAGCGCAAGTATTTATTTCAGATTTACGTAAAGCGATGTTTTAAAAAGTTGAAAGATCATTTTTTCAAAACGGGTTTAAAAAAATATTGTAAATGTTCAACCAGATTAAAAGCACGCCGAGAAAAAAATTATATACCAGATAACTATTAGGTTATTTCTAGTAATAAAGAAATTGTAAAAAAACATTTTTTGTAGTGGACGAAACTCTGATGCTTGGGGGCGTTATATTGCCAATCTACTGGTATGTTATTTAAGTGATAAAGGGTCTGTCTAGTAAATAGAAAATAGTAAGGATTACAGAATTTTCAAATGAGAATTGAAATGCCATCACAATATGTTCTCAAATTTTTCCGAAAACATTCTTTGCTGAACGAATTAGTATTTATTAAAGTGAATTATCAACTTGTTTCGGCGACGACACCACTCGAAACAGATTGCACGCACTTAATTGAATCTGTGCAAACATCTTCTTAATTTTAAGTGGTCTATCAATAGATATTAATGTAGATTTACTTTATAGCGTATTTATGTTTTATGGAAAAATATGTTATAGGTAATTATAGACATTTCTCGTGTTTTTGGTTTGTAGTTTATTGTTCTTTCTTTCCGGGTCGCCGGAAGTAAATTGCATATGCTCCAAAGTTACGTTAATTTTTTTCTATACTGAAACTGACTACTCATGTAAATTCAGGACAATATACCAGACGCTATTTTAGATGGTCATCAACACCGTTACTGTAAGTATTTTAGGAGGATCACGAAAATCGTCCTCAAGACAATTATCAGAATTAAACTTAAGTATTATATACTATCAAAATATTATCAACAATTAACACGAGTTATTGTAACGCATTACATCGTCAACAAATTCAGTATGTTGTTTTTTAACGGGAAGTTCACTATCGCACTAATGTGGTAATTAAAGTTACGCAACATGTCCGAAAAACGTCATATTATTCCTAACAACAATTAATTGCTTACCCCGTGATCCAACATGATGTTAATATTACGATGTTGCGGATGATCCATTAGTGGCGAATTTTGTACTCTTCTACTCTGTTCGATGTCCGGATAATCGATCTGAAACAAAAATCCTCATTCAAGCCACCATCGTCACGCCACCCCCAACAATTCCAACACCCACACTCGAACTCGGCCACGACATCGTCTTCATCCGCCTCATCTGCATTGTCACTTGAAAAGCGGAGCTTCTTCTCCGCCTCAAAACCGCACCGACAACAGACACTCGCTTTTCAGGTGGCAATCTGTCCAGCTGGACCGCCGTCAGCACCGCGTGTTTGAGCATTTTTCACCCTCTAAAAAAGCACGACTTCACTTCACGACGCGTTCATGCCATCTTCTGGCTCGAGCTGACCGTTGTGTTTTCCTTCTTGTTTCCTTCCGCTTTAGATAAAAACGGCCCACGAGACTCCGATAAACGCGACGAGTTTTTTCACGCGCCCGAATTCCGGGAGTCTGGAATGCTGGCTCGAATCGAAATCGCCGGAATCCGATGAAGTATCAACTTTCGACACGCTTTCGCCCCATTTTCCTATGGGTTGGTCGCGCGTAAGAGACTGAATCGGAGCACGGATTTGGTTTGTTTTTAATTGAAAGAAACCGCCAAGTTCGCGTGGCGGAAATGTTCTTTCCTGTTGGAGTACTCATGCGTTTTTTTCGGTGAGCATTCCGGGAAAACATGGTAAAAATAAATCGTGAACGCAGGTTCGGGAAAAATGTGGAAAGCGACGGAGAACTCGCGATTACACAATAGATTGCTAAGATTTCGAGGATGTTTATTTTAATTAAATGTCGGAGTGATATTTTGGTTCGAGATTAATTATCTCTGAGAATGTCGCGAAAGGGATATTTTAGGTCGCGCGGAGACCGCACACGGTGATCATATTGAGCAAAACCGTGCAAATGCCTCATACGTTTGAATTTTCCGTGAGGAAACAATAATACATTAATAAATCGGTCTAACAATAGTAACAGTCAATTGTATGTATGAGCAATTTATTTATTCTTATGTAGTAACGCATGTTGATCAATTCTTCTTATTAGGGTTTCATGTTAGATTAAAGGAGACGAGAACTAGTGTACTTTTGTCTCCGTTTCAATAGAAATAAAATAGATTAATTCGATCTTTTAAGTGTGGCATGTATTACACATTTTAAAAATTCATCATTTGTAATACGAAATACTGTGTAAACAGTTCACTATTCATGTTCATGTTAATGTCTACCTATACAGTAAGTTCTTGATTTTTGACCTTATTCGTTAGACGTGTTGAGTTGTGCATTTACTGCTTTCTCTGAAGTGCCTTTTTGTATTAGTACTATCAACAACATGATAAATCTTGCTTCAAATACATAATGTGATTGATATGCTATGTTTTTTGTAGTTTATAATAACGTGTCTAAATTTTTAATCACGTATATATGGGTTACCGAAAAAAAAAATGGTGTACGATTATTTAAAAAGAACTTTCCTCGTCTGTGAAGTACGGTCCAACAAATCCCGCTACTTTTAAAATGATAAAATTTATTTATTTTTTGTGATAACCGCAATAAATTAAAAAAGCGCGACCTTCGGGTTACAAGTCGGAGGCGCTGGCCTCTACGCTATTGAGGTAATGATCACGTGCCGCTTATCATTATAAATGCTTATTATACAATTTGAACTTTTTTAGATGTATAGAGTAAAAATCAAGACGGATTCATAAATTACAAGTATTTTAGTAGCTAACTGAAATGACGTTTACTAAAAAAATTAGTGGTTGGGTTTTACCTTCTACATGATATTCTTAATATAAATACAAAATTTAACAACAATCGATCCAGTAGTTTAGAAGTCTAATAAAAATCGACACATTCAGACAAACAGATAGGTCGAAACAATGGACCTATTTTTTCTTACTCGGGTAGTCATGAAAAGTAAGAAAACACGAAAGTAGCCAGTCGCCCAATAGACCATTAAACTTGAATAAATTTCACAGTATGTCTTAAAATGTGGATTTTTTTACAAGATTGGCAATATATATATACTAACATTGATTTAAGTATGACAGAAATATAATCAATCATTTAAATATTTATTTACTGTGCCACCGAAAAGATTGATTAACCATGTTTCCTGTTTGCAGTTCAGTGATATATCTATTTCATTTGATTTGTTGATATAGGATACTTAAATTATGTTAACGAATGATTCATTTTGTTGATTAAATAAAAAATGTTTATCAAATTTCCCCAAAAATCTAGAACCACAGTACTATTTTTACTTCCCGGGCATATTGAATGGCTACTTTCAAGTTTTCACGATGTTTCATGCCCCTAGAATACAAAAAATAAATATCGTCTATCTGTCTCTCGTTTGTGTAGATTTTTTTTGACAGATAATCTCCAAATTCCGAATTTTACAATTGTAAATGTTACTTAAATTTTCTAAAATAACGTACTCCTCTACGTGAGATTTATGAAAATGTTGAATTTTATCCTATGCATTCAAATTTTTGGAAAAAAAAATCAAAATTGTATAACAACACTTTACAATTTAACTTTGAAATTGCAAATCGAATGCTTTGAAATCTTGCGAACGTTTTAAGGTTATCGGAAGCATGATAAAATGTTAATCAAAATGTATCCGTTTACGTCCCCCTAAAAACTAAGACGTTTTGTTACAATTTTTCCGAATAAATGTTATTTAAATGTTAAAACGTTAGATAGTATACAAATCCGTGTTAACTTTTTATTATAAACATCGAGATTTTTGGAGAAAAAAAATCGGTTCGGTCAGGTCAGGTCAGGTCAGGTCGGTCGAATGTTATTTCAACAGAACTTCCCTCGCCCCTGAAGTGCAGCCAAATAAATCCTACTTCTCTGAAAAATTATAATTTTTTGCAATTTTTGTTTTCTGATAACCTCTATAAAGTAAGAACCAGTGGCGTAAATAACGCTCCCGCAGCTTATATGACTTGACTTTTTTCTAGTTTTCAAGTTTAAATTTTTCAATTTTTCAACTTTTCAATTCAATTTCTAGATTTTGCAATTTTTCGATTTGAGTTTCTCAGGTTTTCAATTTTTAATTTTTCCATGTGCAATTTTTCGTTTCAGTTTTCAATTTTTTCAATTTTTCGCTTTAGAATTTTTCAAGTTTTCTTTTTTTCTTTCTTCAATTCTCCTGTATGTAACTCATTAAATTTTTAGATTTTGCAGTTTTTAGATTTAAAGTTTCACGAGTTTTCAATTTTTAGATTTTTCAGTTTTTCATTTAATGAGTTTTTGGGAAAAAACGAGAAAGTACAAGTTATTCTACGTAACTTACATTAGGAGTATAGTCCAAAATTATTGAATATTAGATTGACTTTATGTTTTTTTATTATAATATCTCTTGTTTTTAGCGCCAAAAAATTCCTGAAAGAAAACTACGTATATAAAGAAAGAAAAAAAAAACAAAAATTAAGCCCCGCCCACCCACCCCGATCTCTATTATGATGAGTTTTTCATTCCTAATCAGACCGAAGGGAGGAGTTTAATTGTAACATCAATATTTGTCTAAAAAATTCTACTCTTTTAAAAACATATTTCATATGATAATTTCTTGTAGAGAAATGAGGATTTTGCAACTAAACTCCGCCCTTTAGCTTACGATGAATAAAGCATTGATTACAATTGAGAACGGGTGGGTGGGCGGGGCTTATATTTTGTCTATTTTTTTTTATTGTACGAAGTCTTCTTCTCCCAACAAAAAACTGACAACATGTTTAACTACCCTGTTATAACATCAATATTTCTCTAAACAATTCTACCCTTTTAAAAACATATTTCATATGATAATTTCTTGTAGAGAGATGAGCATTTTGCAACTAAACTCCGCCTCTCAGCTCATGATAAATAAAAGATTCATCACAATTGAGAAGGGGTGGGTGGGCGGGGCTTATATTTTGTCCTTTTTTTCTTAATATACGAAGTCTTCTTTTCCCAACAAGAAACTGAAAACATGCTTAACTTTCCTTTTGTTGAAAGAAAACTCTATATATTAACAGACTGACCGATAGACAGACAGACAGACAGACAGACAGACGGGAGACTACTTTTTTCATACTGTAGGAGTCATGAAACGTCGAGAAAACATAAAACTGGCAATTCGTCCGATGGACTCGATTACTATACTTCCTTAACTTACGCTCGGGAAGTAAGTAAAAACAAAATTGTAGAGAAATTTTGCGATTTCTCAATTTTCCGATATTTCATTTTTTCGATTCTTCGTTTTCTCAATTTCTCCATCAATCGATTTTTGATTTCTCAACTTCTAGGTTTCTCGATTTTTCTACTTTTTTCCCCGTTTCGAGAAATCGATTTCTCAACGTCTAGATTTCTTGATTTTACAATTTTTCCGTTTTTCAATTCTTCAACTTTTATATTTATCAATGTTTCCATTTTTGGACTTCTCGGTTTTACATTTTTCAGTTTGTTTTAATCTTTCGATTGTTCAATTTTCTGATTTTTCGAAATTTCAATTTTTGAATTTATTAATTTTTTTGCATTTAAAATTTCCCAGTTATTTAATTTTTAATTAATCAATTCTGAGTTACTTCGATTTTTCTATTTCTCGATGTTTTAATTATTCAAGTTTCGATTTCTTGGTTTTTTGATTTTTCGACTGCGATTTTTCGATTCTCAGATTTTTTGATGTTTCTATTTTTAATTTTTTTTTTTTATTTTTTAAGTTCTCAATGTTTTGATATTTCAGTGTTGGATTTTTCAATTTCTTGATTTTTTGAATTATAGATTTTTCGATTTCTCTTCTTTTTTAATTTTTCAATGTTCCTATTATTTAAATTTTACATTTTTGGAATTTTTTTTTTACGATTTTTTGATATTTCGATTTTCCGATTAAATAGTAATTTTTTTAATACTTCAATTTTTCGAATTTTCTCTCGGTTTTTCAATTTCTCGATTTTTTACTTTATAGGGGTTATCAGAAAACAAAAATCGATTTTTTTTTAATAATATTTCAAAGTAGCGGTATCTGTTGGGCTACACTTTAGCGGCTAGGAGAGTTCATTTTCTTTTAAC